TTTTTTTCCTGCTTAGGGACGTGAGCATGGAGCTGGCATGCCCAGGCTGCCAGCTGCTGGCTGTCCTGGCATAAGCTATTTACGGCCTTGTGCATTTTTAATATTAAAAAAAAATAATCTCTGTTTCTTTTGTCGTGCACAACTGAAGACAAATTTTGAAATACCGATAATTTTTGGTGACAGAAACTCTCTGTTCCCAGCAGTCTCTCTTGCAGTGTGCTTTATGATAAATAGAGGGAACACGGTGGATGCTATTGTGTATCACAGGGCTGGGTACCACTGCGGGGGATGCTGCTGCCACCGCAGCCAAGTCTATTTGTCTGGGGGGACACGACTCTCTGCGTTGCTTTGCAGCTGCTGGAAGCCGTCACCACACTGCGGGCAGCTGGGACAGAGGCAAGAGGGCTCTGGCTTCTCATGGCACCCCTGCAGCTGCTGAGAGGACGCCGTGGGTTTTGGCAGCCGTCAGCACCGATTTAGCTGAGAGGACGCCGGGCGGCGCCACAGGAACTGGGACGTGGCGGGATCTGACCACGCGACGAGGTCGGTGCTGCTGCCTGCGTCCACGGAGACTCGTCATCCCGGTGAGCCATCCCAGTTCTGCCTGGGAACAAGGCGGATGCTGTTCCCTGGAAAAGCTGGGCATTGGTGAAGCCTGGCTTCCCTGCATCGCTAGAGCTTTGTATGCTGGATCTGGCCCTCCCTCCTCACCAGGTGTTCAGGGCAGTTTTCTGGCTTGTGCTTCATGCACGAAGGTGAAGAGGAGGGTCCATGTGGTTTTTCCTGGCCTTGAAAATTAGGAATTACTTGGTGCAGCTCCCAAACACGAGGCAGCTGTAGGCAGAGTACGGGAAAGGGGACTGCGGGCTGCTGGGACAGGCGGAGGGTGACAGCAAAGGGTGTTGGGTGGGCAGCTCAGCCCGTCTCTGTGCTCTCATTTGCTTTCCCCCATTGCCTTGCAGGCATCGATGGCTCCTCTCAACCAGCGAGTGGCTGGGGGGGGCCGGGGCCACCTG